TACTTACTGGGGACCAGGGACCGAGTAGGAACTTAGGTCTGTTTTACCTCTGCGGTCTTTGACATCAAGATGGGGACCATCTGCCCTCAGGTTAGGGGTGGAAACTGAGGCCGGAGAGCAATAGTAGCTTTCTCAGCGGCCGTAGGTACGGGCCCCCAAGGCCTGGTGGACTTGCAAGTCCTCCTTCTGCGTTTCTTAGCCCAGGACGAGGGTTGAGGTGCAGAGCACGTCTTAGCCCCAGCTGTGGGTAGGCTTCCGATCGGGCCTGCTGGACGGCTCAGCTCAGAGACAGTGTGTTCTGCATGGACGTGGCCCCTGGGGCACATGCAGAGCAAGCTTTGGGGAAGCAAGACCGGCTCACAGGAAGGACACGCGCTGCCTCCGGAGAACTCCTTCAGTGCCAGGGGAGAGGGTGCTGTGGCATGGACAGCCCAGTAAGGGACGGACCCCAGAGTCCCCTCAACACGGCTGGGGAGCGTGCACATGTGTTTGTGTGCATGCGTATGTATATGAGCACGTGCACATACTCGTGTGTGCGTGCTGCAGAGCCACAGTTCTAGTGAGTTTGCTTCCGTGTTTATGTCTCCTGTTATGCTCGTCAGGGCCAGACAGGCTGACTGCATTTTATTCTCCTTTGACTCCTTCCTTCAGTGCTGGTCCAGTGCTGTGTGCAGAGTGGGCGCTCGGTCCGCTCCCTACACTCAGAACTTTCCCCGGACGTGTGAGCACTACAGGGAGGGGCAGCCAGGCCTCCGTCAAGGGTGGCGCCACCCCACACCTCCCTCCCAGTTCCCCTCCTCCTCCTCTCCCCACTGTACCCACACTTGTCTTAGTTCCGTCCTGGAGCAGGAGCACCCTTAATGCTGCTGGGCTCCAGAATCTGTCCCAAGATGTCAGCTTCACCTGCAGTGGCCCTGGTAGCCATGGCAGCATCTGTGCTCCTCTCTAGGTGGTTTCCCCCCAGATGGGGGATGGAGGGAAGAGGAAGGGACTTTAGGAGACCTCCCAGGCATGGCGACCACTGTGCCTCCCTTTCTCGGTCCTGTCCTGAGAGTCCCAATGCCGCTTGGCTGGCCATCCTGCTCCCTGGGTGTGGCCCGCCTGAGATGAACGGCTGAATGGGCAGTAAAGAGCCGTGGCAGGGCAAGAGGACTTTGGAAAACTGGCCTCAGAAAGTGTCACCCGAGACTTTGGCTTCTGTGCCTGGTAGGAGGTTTGAGGGGGCATGAACACGGAGTGTCACAGTCTGTCCATCCCTGTGAAGGTGGACTTGGAGCCTGGTGGCCGAAGTCTGGACCAGCCTGTGGTTTGGCCTAGGGAGCTTGGCCCTTTGAGTTAGACCAACCAACCTGGATTCAAATCCTGGCTGTGTACCTGCTGGGCCGCGGCTACGTGGAGTGGAGGTGCTGCTTCCAAATCTGACCACCCAGAACAAAGCGGGCCTCCAACAAACATCGAGTTCCTCCCGCATCTCTGCGCTTCCCCCAGACTCTTTCTTATTTTCTGGCTCAGGACAGAATCAGGAGGGAAGCAGACCGGAAATCCAGATGCCTCATCCATCCGGAGAGATGGAGGATGCTCAGCTGTGGGGAGGAGGGCAGGTGATGGTAGAACCATTGTAATTTAAGACCCCCCCCCATAAGAGTTGCTGTTTCATGGATGATTCAAGTCAAACTTCCCCCAAAGAAGGGCTGTGACCTCTGACCCCTGTAACCTGTACTTAGCACGTTCAAAAGCCCGTCCTAGCCCCAGAGAGCTGACCTGCTCTAGATGCAGGGCAGCAGGGCCAGCAGGGCTATAAACAAGCTGGGTTTCTTGGGCCCAGGAATCCTGAGTGAAAAACCAGAAGGGCACCGGAGAGTGGGGGCATTCGGCTGTGAGCATGTGGCCGAAGTGGGTGAGAGCTCAGGGGAGGGGGGTCCAGGTTGAGCGATGGGGCACCTGCTGATGATCAAGAAGTAGGAAGAGACGGGGCCATGGGCCCCCAAATAAGAAAGTATTTTCTCTCTGACGCTGTGTTCTCACCTGTAAAATAGAACTAATGACATTCTGCGCAGAGGGCTTGTAAGGACTAAGTGAATAACGTGGGTGAAAGCCACTCCGTCTGGCCTGGCCAGGAGAGGGCTCAGTAGAGAGTGTGCAGAGGGGGTAGAAGGAGCCTGGGACCGAGGGTAGGGTGGGCTGGGGCTGGGAGGGCAGAGGAGCTGACGACAGGGCAGCTGGGATGTTTGCGGGCACTCACTCAGTGTCAGGCTGGGCTGCACCAGAGAACGACAGTGTCCTGCACTGGGGCCGGGGGTCAGACAAGCAGACATTCTCCCCTGTTCAGGATGGCAGTCACCACGGGGTCGGGGGCTCAGGGGCTGCAGAGAGTCAGGCTTTGGGGTGCTTGGGGTGGAATGTGTTTGTCCTTCAAGCTTCATTTTCTGCACATCTTCTGAGACTGAACCTGGCGCCCAGGTGACTTGGATTATGGTCAGTTCTCCCCCATTTTCTGGGTAGGAGTGCAGAGGCTGAGAGAGGGGGCTGCCCATCCCAGCTCTCCCTCCTGGTCTCCCTGGAAGCCTGCAGGGGCTGGGCTCCTTTTCCTTCACTGCATCCTCAGGCAAGAAACAATCTCTGTGAACCTCAGTCTTCTCATCTGTGAAATAGGCCTGTTGATACCCCATCATGGTGTGGGGGAAGTCGTGTGCCTAGAGCTATACCTGGCACACAGTGAATCCTCAGGGTGCAGAACTGATGCCAGAGAGAGCCCCTGAGCTCAAGCCAGCTTTCCGGCTGCACACAAGAGGCAGGGCTCTGGAGGCCCGGCCTGGCCTTTGAAGCTCAGTGCAGCCCCTTATTACTGCAATTAATTACCCGGGGACAATGGGCGCAGCCCTGCCCTCAGCCCTTGCCTTCAAGCGGCAGGGGGTGGGCCGAGGGCACCAGGAGGGGGAGGTTAAGCAGCCGCCTGTTTGTTTATGGGCGCAGGAAGCTTTATTGGTTTTACACTCCAGCCTGTTTTGAAATCAAAGAACATTTCCATGGAGGGGGTGGAAGTCAGCAGCAAAGAGCCTGAGAGCGGCTTTATTTATTTTTTGGCCCGGGACAGAGTACAACCCAGCCTCTGCCTGCACCTGTGTCCTCCAGGATTGGCTCTGGCGCTCCGCAGCGGCAGTGGGTGCCTCAGCAGGGACCCAGTGTGCCTCAGGGGCGAAGGAAGCCACCTCTCCTGGCAGGCTAGGGAGGACGGGGAGCTCGCACTTGGGAAGTGTGTGACCTGAGCAGCAGCAGGGTCTCTTGTCCTCTGTGAGCTTTGGTGACCTTGTCTTCCATTTGGGCCTCAGGATGATCCTGGTCCCAGCAACCTGCAGATTCTCGAAGGGTGCTCACTGGGGGCATCTATTAGGAACATTTATGAAGTTCCGGAGTTTGCAAGTGTGCCTTCGCTACTTCATTCATTCATTCATTCATTCATCAGTTACGCGTAGCTGCAGGTCAGACTTCTGTTTGGAATTAAAAAAAAAAAAAAAAGCCATCCAAACACATGTTATGAGTTCTTTCTGTTGAAAGAATTACATGCTTATTGGGGGGGGGGAGGATTTCAAACACTCAGAGCATATAGAAGGTAAAAAGTTTGTCATCCCCTGCTTCCTGTTACCCAGAGTTAAAAGGTGGTAATTTGAGATCTGATCTTTTCGATGTTTCTCTAGAGAGAAATATGCACATCAACACCGTGTTTATTTTAATGAATGGGATGATGGAGTAGACACTCTTCCAGCTTTCACCAGTGCACGGTGTTTTCTGGAAGCTGAGGCAGGAGGCTGCTCCTTCCTGGACATCTGGCCATCATTGTGTCCTATCCGTCTTGTTGGTTGCTTTGGTCACTGTGGGTCTTAGAAGTGAGAACCGTGTGCCCGCCTCCGCTTACCGCTTTCACCTGGTAACTCAGCAGGCCCATGTGTCCCCGTTTCACAGGTGGTAAGACTGAGGGCAAACAGAAGTAGCAGGATTTTGTCAAGTCTCCTGCTAGAAGTAGCTCAGCTGAAATAGGGGTTTTCTGACCCTTTGTCTTCTGGAGTATTCTGGGGCACACAGAGAACTGGCTCCATTTGAGGTCAGCAAAGGACTCCAGGTAGGAACCATAGCACACACAGCATAGTGAGTGATGGAAGACCCTGGGTACAGATGTCTCCCCATCAGGCCGGGGGCAGTTGTGTGGCGCAGCCTTCAAGTAAATGCCAGCGGCTACCAGCCCAGCCAAAGTGGCTCCCCATGCCACCTACCTCCTTTCCCTCCTGGCAGAGCACAGAGAAGGAAGGAGTTTTGAGCTCCCTGCCCCCATCCACAGGAAGCAGGAACGTGCCCTCAGGCTGCAGGTCACATTCTGAATCAGGACCTTGAACCTCACAGCTTCCCCAGTTGGGTGCCAGAGGGCGGGACCTCGGAGCTGAAAAGCTTCCCTGGCATCAGCTCCTCCTCCGATGTCAGCTCTGGAAGCATCCAGCAGAGCCTCTCTTTCACACAGGGAGGGACAGAGACCCCGAGAAGGTTAAGTGACTGGCCCAAGGTCACACAGTCCTCGGCAACAGGCTGGGGTGGATTCTGGATTCTGGATTCCATCCTGCAGGCTCCGCCCTCCCAGGCAGTGGGGACCTTGCTCCTGGCCCCTTACAGCCCGTGGCCGTATCTGGGGTTTTCCTGTCCTATTCTGGAACTTCCAAACCCAGAGAAGGCCAGAGGCACAGCAGAAGGGGAGCTGGTGACCTGGGAGGGGGACAAAGCCTGAGACAGGAACAAGGTTCTCCTTGGGATGAGCAGCGGCTGTGCCAGACGTCCAGGCACACAGTTACCCCATCTCTCGTGTCTATGTTCGGTTTCGTTTTTGTTGGTTGGTTGGTTAGTACTGAGGACTGAAACCAGGGCATCTGCGCTGAGCTACATTCCAGTCTTTTAAGATTTTTTTAAATTTTGAGTTAAGGTTGCTAAGTTTCCCAAGCTGGGCTCAAACTCAGGATTCTCCTGCCTCAGTTTCCCTAAGTGCTGGGGTGACAGCCGTGCACAACCATGCTTGGCTTCGGACCTCGCATCTGACCAGCACGTTATAGTTTATGAAGCATATCCAAGCACAGCCACAACCCTCTGTGAAACGGCCTTGTCATCCCTCTTTTACGAGTGGGGAGACTGAGGTGACCTCAGTTGCTGAGATCACACAGTAAATGATAGACTATTGGACCTAGGTGGTCTTTGGGACTATCTAGTTCTGTCCCCTCATTTTATAAATGACAATGGTGAGGCCTCAGGGAGCTCTCTGTTCTGGGGTCCCTTCTAGCTATATGACAGTCAGCCCCAGGTTCCCTTTCCCAGGGAACGTGCCAGCTTCAGACAGGGCCCAGTGCAGACATCAGCCCTTGGTTCTAGTGATTGTGGACACAGCAGTGTCATGCGGTGGCCAGGCTTCCAGGCTCTGGCACCAGCTGGATCCGAGTTCCAATTCTGACGATCTCATGTGTCCTTGGGAAGCTGACCTCCTCTCTCTGTGCTTTAGTGTCTTCACGTGCAGCGTGAGTTCTCTCATTGGATATGGAGAGGGTTAGACAGCACACACAGGCACATGGCTTAGCAGAGAGCCTGCACACAGTAAGTGCTTAATAAACGCTGGCGGTTCAGTGTTTATACTCCCAGGGATGACTAAAGGGCTGGAGTGTCCCAGCTCCCAATTTTGGGACCCTGATGTTTGTCCTTTGCAAGTCTCCATTGGCCTCCCAGAAGGTGAGGACCAGGTGGCTGTGCCTGGGGCTGACAGATACAAGCTGGGCGGCCTCCCTGGGCCCCAGCTGCAGAGACGGTGGCCTCTTCATGCAGAAGGGTAAAGGGAAGCGGAAGATTCCTTTGCACCTTCTTTTCCCAGTGCTGTGCCGTCCTGCCTTAGGATACTCCATCAATCTTCTGAAATAGTTCTGCAGTGCAGGTTGAAGGCCATGTCTAACCTTGACTCTGTCCCCGAAGCCTCCAGACATCATAGCCAGGCTGGGTCTGGGGGAGCCTCAGGGGTCTCCCGGAGCAGTCACTGGGGAGGGTGGCAGGTGGCACAAGGGGACACGCCTGCAGGCCGTGTGCTTGTGGGAAAGCCTTTGGAGCAGGGAAGGGGTGGTGGCCGAGGGGCACCTGCGGAAGATGTCAGGGAGCCGGGTGCCTCCCCATCCCCGGCAGAGTCCTCAGGAGTCAACCCTTCACCCAGGTGGTGTGTGGCAACGTCTTGCCGCCTCGATGAAGACAGGCTTTGAAAGTCAATTATTTGAAACCCAGGACGCCGAGGCCTCCAGGGCCTCTCAGCAACGAGCTCTGAGCAAACAGGCTTTTGGCAAGTTCAGAGAAGAGGAAACAGGATTGAATTTCCCCTCCGACTCACCTGGGGGAGAATTCAGACTGCCTGGTGGTTAGGACATGGGGGATCTTGGCTCTGTGGTAGGCTTGAGAGTGGGGGTCCTTTGGGGTCATGGAGGCAGGCCCAGAGCCATTCTGTAGCTTCCCCGCAGCAGCTGGTCCTAGGCTCAGGACTACCAAGGTCAAGCAGTTCTTCCCTGGGTCTAACTTCATTACCTCTCGCTGCAAATGAAAAGACGCCGTGCCGCTGGCTCAGCAACCGAGTCGAGGAGGTTTGAGGCCCCAACCTGACCATGCCAGCTGGGTGTGCTGTTGGGCAAGCTGCTTGGCCTCTCTGGACCTTTCCCCGCCTGTAAAGTGGAGGGAACGGTAAGGCTTACCTCAGGGGTTCTTGGTCAAGCATGAGACTCTACAGGAATTGAAGGAGGTGGGAGAAGTTGGTCCTGCAGCTGGGTTCCCTACGTCTTTCAGAAAGCAGGTAGGGCGGAAGGCTGCTCACGTGTCCAAGTTAAAGGAACGCCACGAGGGGACCTTCCTCACCAACCCGGGCCCGCACTCGACTGTGACTACAACTCAGGAGGACCTACTGCAGAAGACTGACCCGGGGGTGCGCTGGAGCGGTGGGGGTAGATGAAGGGAAACGCTCACCTTTCAGTCTCTACAAGTCATGAGCTCATGGGGGTGGGGAAGGCTGCAGACTTGAGAACCAGGGGGAAGAACTCTGAGAAAATGGCAGAGCAGGACAATGGCGTATGTGACCTCCCTGGGCCACTTTCCGCACTCAGGCCCACTGTCCTCTTGGGCTGGGGCCCCTGCCCTGAGCCAGCCTGGCAGCACCTAGGGCTGAGGCAGGCCCAGCCTCTGCCCTTCTCCTCCCCAGCTCCAGCCCTGCCCTCCATCTGAACACCCGCCCCATCCCCACAGCAGCCTCCCATCCCCATCGCTCTAACAGAACTCAGAGCAAAACTGAGGAGGCGTGGAGCAGTGGTTCTCAGCCTTGCCTGTACAGAGTCACAGAAGGAAGCTTTTAAAAGCCCCAATGCCTGGGCTGCCCTCCAGGCCCCAGACTGATAAAAGAGAATGCCTGTGTGCATGAGTGTATGTGTGCATGTATGTGCACATGTATGTGTGCGTGTGTGTGCAGGATCTTTTAAAGCTCCACAGGTGACTCCAGTGAACAGGCATGGCTGAGAGTCCAAGCTGTAGATCCTCTGGCCACATGCATCCTGAGCTGCACCTTCTGCCTGTAAGAAGCAGGAACCTCCAGAGTCATCCCACACAGCCATCAGGCAGATTAGGAGGGAAACCTGAGCAAGACAGGGCCTGGCACCTAATAGGTGCTCATTAAACGCTTGCTAAATACTAATGGCTCTCATTTTTGGAGTGTCTACCCTGTGCCGAGTACTTTGCATACATTTACATAAACTTTTCTCAAGATCCAAATGCTTTCTGGGATTGGCACTTTTAGCCCCCCAGAGCAGGGCTGCCTTTGTGCTGGTTTGGGGCAAGCGGGTGTGTCTGGAAGCCCTGGCTCGGGATCCTGGCTGGGTCTTGTTTGGGCACAGCTTAGGTAACCTTGGGCAAACAGTGACTCAGCACTTGGCTGTGGATGAATCCTCTGCAGGCCAGGCCTGGCGTCCTCAGATTTCTTTCTGCAGCATGTCAGGGCCCACAAGGATGTGGCAAGCACTTGGGTCAATTTTCCTCGGGGGCCCTTGGGAGGATCGGGGACCGAGGAACAGGGGCTCCCATGGGCTTCCTAGATGCTGGGACTCAGAGAGGCTGAGTGACTGCCCAGAGGAACGGGATTTGAACCCTGGATCCCAGTATCCAAAGCCCAGTCCTGCCAGAGGCAGGATTCCCTTCCCCAGCAATGCCACCCAGTGCCTAGGCTTCTCTCCCGTCCTCCCTCCTCCCAGGTCCGGGGCACCCGCAGACTGGGGGGACACTGCTTCTGGGCTGGCCGGGAGAGCTCACAGGGGTCCACACTGCTTTCGGCGCTCCAGAGCTGCCCTCTGGGGTCAGCAGCCGTAGACCTTGGCTCCAGATGGGCACAGTAGCGACACCTTCCGCCCAAAGATCTCTGTCCTGTGAGGTCTGCAGTTGGCCACCCTTCCACCCCACGGTAACGTGCCCCAAGAGATCCAGGTGGGGGGTGTCTTTGGAACCTGTCCCAGCTCCCTGTGGACCTGCTGTGTCACCTCGGGTGAGTCACATCCCTTCTCTGGGCTCAGTTTGCTCATCTGTGAGCAGGGAGTTGGGACTAAATTTGCTCCCAGCTTGAATGGACCAACGCTCTTGATAGAGAAATGGGTCTGAGATACTGAAGTCACTTCCCCATGGAAAGCTATCCCCAGCAGGAAGTCCTGGGTCTGCAGGGCCTGAGTTTAGCCCACCCTGCTGCGTGGAAGCATTAAGACATAGAAGGTGGCTTATGCTCTCCCAGATGTTCCCCTCTTCCTCTTCTTCCTCCTCTTCCTCCTCTTCCTCCTCCTATATTTTTTTGCACTATTGGAAATGAAACCTAGGTGTCTGTCAGGCTATCACAGAGCCAGGTCCCCAGATCTTTATATTTATTTATTTTATTTTGAGACAGTATCTCTCTAAATTGCCCAGGTTGGGCTTGTACTCAGGATCCTCCTGCCTCAGCTTCCCAGAGTGCTGGTATCATAGGCTTGTGCCACTGTGCCTGGCTTTTTGAGCTGCTTTGTCTGTAGCCAGGGATGTTATTGCACCGGTTAAATGAGAGAATCTACACCTAGCCCTTCCCGGCGCCTGGGACATGCATTGCCTCTGCGTGCCGCCTTGGCCCCTGGCAGGATTTCCCTGCAGAGCTGTGGTCTCTAACATGGGGACAACAGCACCTGCCTGAGGGAGCTATGGCAGGAACTAAATGAGAGGAGTTTCTGTGGCTTGGTGCCTGGCAGGTGGCCCCCGTTATTGTAAAATCAATCATTCGTGAGGGTGTGGCCCAGCTTTCTCCCATCTCCGAGCCCAGTCATGAGCATGAGCAGATGAGCCCGGAAGTAGAAGAGGGTGGGGGTGGGGCTGCTTCCGGTGGCCTTGCTCAGGTTGCCAAAGACATTGTGTCATTGAGTGTCCAGGACCCCGGCAACCTGCCTGTACCTTCCCACCCTCTTAGCCCATGGGCCTGGCCACATCGGCCCTAGTCCAGCCTGGTTCTCTAGCCAAACACACCCCTTGGGGCAGAACTCGCAACCCCTAATTCATGAACCTATTGACTCAGGGTCCAAATCTGCAGTCCCGGCGGGCAGCCGATGGTCTCTCTTTCCGTCGTCCATCACACAGGAAACCATGCTGGCCTGGAGGGGCTGCAGGCTGCATAGACACAGCCGGGGCTGCCGGGACATCATCCACCTGGCCCCCTGTCCCACCGGGCCCCATTTAGGATGTGCCCTTCCATGGGAAGGCCCATGCAGGGCTGGAGATGTCTTCAGAAATGGAAATGGGCCCATTTGTTTATAATTTACTCTCTGACACTTAACGGGAACCCGATGGGACCAATAAAGGCCCCGAAGTAGCCCGGTTCCTACTTCAGAAGTACTGGAGCCAGACAAGTTCTCTGGAGGCAAATGCATCTCAAAGTGGAGCCACCCGGGGAGCTCCCCCTCCCCAAACTTCTGAAAGACCCTGCACTGTCCCCCAGACCAGCCAGGGGGGCCACCAGCCGTTCCACACTGGGGATCAGAAAGACAAGCGCTTGGCTTTCTAGGTATAGAGGGCCACAGAGGTGATGGGAAGGACTAGAATATTCTGGGCACAAGGTAAGCAAAGAGTGGGGGCCAGGGCGGAGGAGAAATCCAGCTTTCAATTTTGCTCAAGAGAAAAATGAATACATGAGAGACAGAATAATTTTCCAGTGTGCAAGTCCTAAGTAAAACCTCCTTGAGACATTGCGAGTTATTAAAGAAGAGGAAAGAAAAGAAATTGTAAAATCAGTTTGCCTTTAGCAGAACGGTACAATGCACTCTTATTTCCAGGGGAATCTAATTAGAGGGCAGGGGGCCAAGCCGGGGAGGGGATGGGAGCTGGGAATTGCTGCTGAGAGGCCCCAGAGAGCTGGTTGAGAGGAGGGATATTTCCCTCCCAGTATCATGAGGTGCTTAGAGCACCTGGATGTGAATCCTGCACCTTGGTTCTGCCTGTGGGTTGCTGCCTTCACTGGAATCTCCATTTCTTCATTTAAAAATGGAACTGCAGAGCGAGGGATATCGCTCAGTGGTAGGGCATTTGCGTAGCATACTCAAGGTCCTAGGTTCAATCCTCAGTGCCACAAAAGAATGAATTTTTTTAAAAATCCAAGCCAAGTGTGGTGGCACACGCCTGTAATCCCAGCACTCAGGAGGCTGAGGCAGAAGGATTACTATGAGTTGGAGGCCACCCTGGGGTACAGAATGAGATAGTTCAGGACAGGCCTGAACTACATAGCAAGGCCCTGACTCAAAAAGCATAAAAAACTGCAAAACTCTCCCCAAGAATGTTCCAATTCCTTGTTGGTGGAATTGACAGGATGAGGTGAAAGAAAGTGTTGGCCAGAGTTTATCACACGCTGACACCCAGCAAATGCTGGCACCCTATCCAGGGTATCAGCGCCACTTCCCCGACCAACACGTTCCTCCTCCTAGGTGCCCCGCATGACTCTCACTCCCAGAATCTCCCTCACCATCTCCGCCTCCTCCGCTGCCTCCCCTTGAACTCAGACACCAGGTCCCCCAGCCTCCTGGGGTGACAAGTCTAGCTCAGCCTTTGAGACCACCAGCTACCTCTCCCCACCCCCAATCTCTTGCAGGATATATATGTTTTCATAAAAGGTGTACTTTTCATTCAGAAATAAGTCCCCAAAGGAAAAGTCCCTGGAATTGTAAGCCTGCAGGCACGTGTGTGTACCACCAGTGCACGTGCACACACCCACAGCTGGCCGTGCACACGAGAGACCATAGGCACTAGTCTCCGGGAAGCCTCATCCACTCCCCCAGTGCAGCCTTGGCCTAAGGGCATTGGACTTTTTTTGTTGGTTTTGTTTTTTGAGACAGGGTCTCGCTATGTAGTCCAGGCTGACCTTGAACTCACTATGTAGCCCTGGCTGGCCTCAAACTTATAGCGATCCTCCTGCTTCAGTCTCTCCACAGCTGGGATTATATATGTGCACCACCGTGCCTGGGTGAGTGTTGGATATGTACATAACACCTTGCAGGGTTGTCTGGGGACAAGGCCAGTATGGCCCTAAGGGGAAAGAAGGAGGCAAAGCGTACAGGGGCAACAACATCAGCTAGTTCGTGTCTGAGACTTTCTAAAGGTGGATGAAGTGGCACAGGGTCTAGGTTCAAGTCCTGACACAGACACATACAGCTGTGTGACCCTGGGTGAGTGACTGCCCCTGTCTGAGTCTCATCCTTAGACCTGGCTTAGTGTCAACTCCTGAGATGACACAGTTATGCACGCAAAGCTCAGGACCTGGCATAAGGACAGAGGGTGGTCACCTGATCTCCACAGAGGACACCTGCTCTCAGCCTGTTCCTCCACCCTCGAATGTTTTGTTCACCTCCAAATCCTACGAAGCTTGACTTTTACCCTCTGAGAACCAGTGTTTTCACCGTCTTCGCGCTTCCCAGCTATTTTTTTTTTTGTTTGGTTGGTTTTTTTTTTTGCTTTTCTTCCGGTACCAGGAATTGAACTCACGACCTTGCGCTTCCCAGGCAGGCACTGTGCCACTGAGCTAAAGCCCCAGCCCCCTTCCCAGCTATTTTAATGTAACTATTACCTATGGCCGGCCGCATTTGGGGAAAATAACATTATTCTATCCAGATCCAGCAAACGGGGCTCAGAGAAATAATTGCCACAGGGTGTGAGTAACAGATTTTATTTTTATTGATCAAAATTTTTTTCTTATCAAAAACACATCAGAGTAGAAAAAGCATAAGCAGCAGGAGCAAATTGGATTTTAACTCCTTTAAAAAATAGCTCCCTCCAGCAGCCCGTTTCCAGAGCTGCCTGACTCCGAGGTGCCGTGCTCAGGGTGTGTGAGGGTCCCTGGGCGGGGGTGCCCTGCAGCGGGCTTCTCAGTGACTCTGCATTTGTATTTGGGGGGCCTCTGAGTGGATCCTACACCTGGATGCAGATGCAGGGGATTTAACAGAGTATCTGTGTGTTGAAGTACAGAGCGCTGGGAGCCGTTCGGCTGGGCTTTCAGTGTGGGGCCAGGTGTCTGGTGTTGCATAAATACATCTCTAATGAGATTATTGTGCTCACTGATCCTGACATTCAATGGCAGTCACCCTGGCTTGAAGATCAAGCTGTTGCAGGCGCCTTTTGGAACATGGCAAGTTACTGCGCGGATCTGGGCAC